CGAATGTGGGGGGGGGGGGTTGTTCGTTTGTTTTCGTATTTGTCCCGGCTTTTTAGCCCTATAAATAGCAAATAGCATATTCATTTTTTTTTCCATAAAGGCAAAGGCGCTTCAAGTGAACTTCTCCTTTCACTGCTGCTGGATCACAGCAGCCTTTTCCCTGCCCTGTCCAGCCCCTCCCTATGGACAAGCACCCCTCACTCCCAACCCACAGGGGGAGCAGGGTGCAGGGACAGCACAGAGCCAGAGGGGTGCAGGGAACAGTGGGGGGTATACGGGGTGGGGCGGGAAACAGGAGGCACAGAGGGACACAGGGTTCGGGGGAGCAGGATGTGGTGGAGGCACAGGGAATGGGACACAGGGAAGGGGAGGGGCAGAGGGATCGGGGTCTAGAGGCAGTGCAAGGAACGGGCAACACAGAGCTGGGGGGCAGGGATCAGGGGGAGCAGCATGCGGGGTGCAAGGGTGGCGCAGAGTCAGAGAGTCACAGGGAAGAGGGAGAGCAGGGGGTCCGGGGTGCAGGGGAGCAGGGGCAGCATGGGGAATGGGCGATGTGGGGAACGGGCGGCGCGGAGACAAAGGGGCGCGGGGTGGGTACAGCAGCGGTCAACAGGGAACGGTCTCTCGCCGGCAAGGGGGCTGGGGTTGTGGCAGGACTGGAGCCGGCGGGGCGGGGCCTGGCTGCGCTGCAGCCAGCTCCCAGGGACACGCGGCCAGAGCCAAGCTGCCGCAGCCCTTTAAAATCGGTGGGGCCACGTCCTGCGGGCATCCCGCCCTCTGGCTCGCGCCCCGCCTCCTCGCACTGGAGCTAATGCAAGCACCCTGGTGGCAAGAATCGCCGCACTTCCTCCTCCCCGGCAGCGCTCTGCTCCTCCGCCGGCCAGCGGATCGGATGGGGGCGGGGGACACGCGGCCAGAGCCAAGCTGCCGCAGCCCTTTAAAATCGGTGGGGCCACGTCCTGCGGGCATCCCGCCCTCTGGCTCGCGCCCCGCCTCCTCGCACTGGAGCTAATGCAAGCACCCTGGTGGCAAGAATCGCCGCACTTCCTCCTCCCCGGCAGCGCTCTGCTCCTCCGCCGGCCAGCGGATCGGATGGGGGCGGGGCGCCCGTAGTACGGGCTTCAGCCAGCCCGTCACAACG